TGAAAGTGTTTATATTAGGTGCCGATACAACGTCCTCGGGAAGACCGTTCCACATGTTTACAGTTCTAATACCAAACATGTTTTTCCTTAGTGTAGTTTTGAATTGTTGCGGGAAGATCATTTTTGAATTCCTCCTACTGCTGTGACGCGTTGTTACATCCTTCCAACGTTTAATAAAATTACAGGATTCCCTGTCGTACATTCCGCTTATTATCTTATATAGTTCAATCATATCCCCTCTAGCCCTTCTGTGTGATAGTGTTGAGAGTTCCAGCTTTTGTAGTCTTTCTTGGTATGTTAAGTTTTTCATCCCCGGTAAACTCCTAGTTGCTCTGCGCTGCACGGCTTCCACTCTATCAATATCTTTTGCTTTATACGGTGCCCAAACAGAACTAGCATAGTCAAGTTGTGATCTTACTAAACATTTGTATAACGGGAGAAAGGTGATATAATTCATAAAATTAAAAGTTCTTCTGAACAGTCCGAAAATTTGGTTTGCCTTTTTTACTTTTTCGCTGATATGGTTTTCAAAACTCAATTCCGAGTCTACAGTAACGCCAATATCTTTTTCCTTGTCTGTTTTTTGTAGATTGTTCCCAAGTAATCTTCTGACAGGAAAAGTTAAGATAACTCTTCAAAAACAGACATGCTGCCCTACTTCCCAGAACAAACTTAAATAAAAGGGGCCGAATTTGCCCAGATCTCCCCCTTATTGTTATGACGTTCTTAAAATCTCATTGACCTTGTCTTCTTATAATGATCTCATTCTGAAAGCAGTATTATCTCATTCTAAATCATTCAAGGGGCTGGTCGGGGGAAAAATACAAAATAAATGGGTCTAAATGCGTTCTCTGACCTTCAAAAAGTTATACCACGGCAATATGATGGTCGAGTTCTGCTTGCAATGTCCAGTTTTGACCACTGAAATCTCGGGGAAGCCCTGCAAATTTTTTAGCGCAGACCTATTTATATATGTCACGTGGTTGTTTCAAAAGTTAGGCAGTGAGGATAACAACAACAGCACGCCGTCATGTGCCTTGTCGGACTCAACCAGCGGACAAGACAACAATACTATACGTAAATAATTGTTTTCAAAGGTCATGCATGATGCAAGTATAGTATTCCTACCTATATGTTGTTGTTATATATAACGGTATTGATACCTCGTGCCTGTCATGACTTTGCATGCATTTTTTTCTTTCGCCGCGATGTTTACATTTGGCCATGTAGATCTTAGGGAGTGAATTTCAGCAAAATTTGAAACGGTATATTTCATAAGAAGGTATTTTAAACATGTTTATGCCATTTTAGCAAATATGACATTTTTCCCCGACCAGCCCCTTTAAATATCAGATATCAACAAAAGCAACGCTCTTTTTAGGCTTTGCCTTTTCATATTACGATAGAAAGTTGAAAAGTCACAGCTTACATGCTACACATACATGTGGACGGTCCTTTATGTAATCATAAAATATAGTTGTACGCGTACTGTAGCTCTCATGTACCCGTAAGGTTGCAAAACCTCTGTAAAAACAATCGGAAGCGACTTGTTACCATGTAATAGTTATACAAGGAAATCGCAAGTAATCAACAGTACAATCACTAGTAATCATGGTCAATTTTATCATATAAACAAGCAAGTAACCATACAGTAGTCGTCGATTAAGAGCCACGGTTGTTCAAACTTCAGACATTAACTTAACAGGAATTTGCTTTGATTGCATGTCTCCTCATACACTCTTTTTTCATCATCGTCTCTGAGTTCAATCAAAATTTATCAGATTTATTATCAGAATTGTAGAAATTAGATCGACTCGGATGTCAGCGCTTGTGATTAATGATCGATTATGTAAGATTAAGAAGTGAATATAAACATATATTACAGTTTATCGGGTTGAAAAGTTGCAAAAATAACTGCTTCGTCCGTTTTGACTAATTATACAACATGGGTAATGATTAAAATAATCCAATTTACCTCGACTGGAGGTGTACAACAACGTGATTTATTTAGCTCTCGCTTCGGTGATCCCTATTTCCAGAATCTGTACAGTGCCGTTCGACCACAGTGCTTTTGAAACAATAATATGTGAAATTAATTAGAATTTTGATATTTTATCACAAGAATAAGTTAATCTATTTATTTTTTATTTTTCTTGTTAAAATCTTTAATGGTATTTGTAACAGGATGGAAATTTTGTAAATATGTGTGGTATTTTTTAGTTATACCTAGGCTACCAAGACAACAATTTTTAGGAAATAACACTTTAAATGTTTATTAAAATTCATTTGCTGTGTTTATACTGTAAATGAAAAAAAAGAATGCAGTAACAGCACCGGACTTTGTTTCGAATTTTCCTTTTCCAAAATATGTGATAATTTCTGATAATGACTTATTACAGTCATCGTTGTAATTGACCCTACAATCATTGTAATAAATGCTCAGGTAATATGCTAGTCAAGCGTGTAGTGATGTCTCCTCAAGCTGGGATTACCGTTGCTATTTTTAGACGTAAACAAATTATCACAAATGAGAGATTACCACAAACACTGAACAGGCTTCACACACCGAGATATTAATTTAATTAAACGTAGAAACAAAAAATAACGAAAGTAAATATTGAAGAAACGCGAACTGTTCCGCAACGTCAACAGACATGTAGGCCTACGGGATTTTGCGAGAGATTTTAAACGCTTGGTCATATCTTACATGCATGATTGTGATCATAGCCATAACGTTGAATATCGTAAAATGGTAGAAATTGCTGGCACTAATCAAAATTCCATCCAACTCACCGCTACAAGTTGAACCGGATAAGCGGCTAGAACATTTCTTCGTATTTAACGCATGCGCAACGAGCTCTTATCTCAATTGTAGCCTAGAGGGGGTTCCCAAATTGGCGATTGACTACGGGGAAATCGGATCTTCTGGAAAATTTCACGAAACCCCAGAAATACACCCCATTTTCAAAACCCTCTCAGGGCCGTTCTTTGAAAGATATAGAAACATCAAATATATCGTTTTCTTCAGAATAACTTGGACTACTTATGTTTGGAGTTTCAGCTTTAAGCGTTAATCCTCCAGGGTGAATTATACAGCTACTAATGGTCAAAATGCCGATTTTGGCGTGTTTAACACCAAATATCTCCATAACTAGATTTTTCCCAGATATAACAGATATACAAGGAGGTAGACCGCGCTGAGTTCTACAAACGTGGAAAGTTTCAGCAAAAGATATGGAGCCGTTATTTTCGTACTCAAATCTCTGTTATATGCGGCAAATTAGCTACATTTAGCCGTGTTAACATTTCGTTCAGAGGAACGATAACAGAGTTATCGCCCCTCTAACACTTCATTTCATATGAATAACAGAATAAGTCTTTCCATGTAACTGCAATTTTAGTTGATTGATACTGTCTCGAGAAACAATGATATTGAATACTATACCTGCCTTTGTCAGAATGCAGCATCAATGTAACATCAAGGTCGACTGACATAGATATGCAAAGTATGACCGATACATGCATAGGAATATCCAGGTACAGTAATCGCCCACTAAATCATACACATAAAATGTTGACAATCAGGATGCTTGAGCCGCATTCGTGTATCCACCCCCCCCCCCCCCCCCCTCCCAAATAAGAAGGAATACATGAGCATCCCATTTAAAAAGTATGTACCCATCCAGACAAGTTTACTGACTCTGGACTGTCTAACGCTTCTAACGCTGAAGAAGCTGTGTGTACTATTTCTAATGTCTCTTGTATAGCTTTAGTGTAAAGCTTTTGCATATATTCATATATAAAACATATATGTATTAATTTTGTTTATATGAATTATCTTTATCCATTTCCAACCTAATGTCCTTGTTCGACATTCAAGGTCACATGCGTCACATGGTTAATCTTTGAATAGGTTCTTATGAATCAAACTCTGATATTATGACTGTAGCTGTATTTTAGTCCACTTTTAAAATTACAAGTGTGAGATTAATACATCTGTACCAGGTGAGCGATGCAGGCCCATTGTCATTTTCATGAATATTTCTTGACGTGCCACTTACACCAATTACCTGAAGTGTTCAAGTCCCATTTAGACTCTAATCTGAAAATGAACATGGCTCTAATCGCGGCAGATCCATTGGCAACTATTACCGTGGATGTCTGTGTGTCGTGGATTTGTACAAATATATCTGTTATTTTATCCTCTGAATGTTGTCCGCTTCACGAGTTTTGATGTATTGTTCATATGATAAAGTCCAGGTTAAAACTGATTATAATTAAATCCAATCTTGTGATCGTATTATCGGGTCCATGATAACAACAAGGTGTTTTTACATGGATTTGCATAGCAAGATCATTCGAAATTCTTTATTCGTGCTTATTTGTATGTAGTGTAAGTGGTGTTGGTGGAAGTTATTCTGTTTAGTTTTGACTAAGCTTGTGTGCTATGCGCTATGTGTGTGTGTGTTTGTGTGTGTGTGTGTGTGTTAATTGAATCTTTCTTTATAATAAATGAATGAAAAGTAAAAGAAGTAATAGAAAAGGAGGTGGATGTTGCAGGTTGGTTGTATTTATTTTTACTCTACTACTTGTGTTGATTCTTTTAACTTTGCTTTCTTTGCCTTTATGCATTGTCACGATTCACGATTAAAGTACATGTATACAAGGTACAATGACCAAGTTTAGAGTGATAGTTCTTAACTGCTGTAGAAATATCACCCCATCGGTGAATTCAAAGTCTTACTTTTAATGTTAATATTTCAGCAATGTTATTTATAAAAAAAAATCTAAAACTTCTTATGAATAACATAATTAGTCTTTCCATGTAAATGCAGTTTTAGTTGATTGATACTGTCTCGAGAAACAATGATATCGAATACTATACTTGCCTTTGTCAGAATGCAGTACAATGTAACATCAAGGTCGACTGACATATAAATGTATATCTGTAAATTATGACAGACACATGCATGGAATATTCATGTACAGTAATCGCTCACTAAATCATACATATGATATGTTAACAATCAGGATGCTTGAGCCGCATTCGTTTATCGCGGACCAGAGTGCAGCTTTTCATGTGTAGCTATCCAGTATATTTTCAATATTTTGTAATTTTGTAGGCAATCGCACTTACAATAACGTAATGCAAGTGTTGTAAAAGATTTTGAACATGCAGAGATCCTCGTACGATAGTATACCTACCTTTTAACCACTCAAAGTCATTTTTCAAGGTAATCATGTTACGTCCTGTCGACATTGATGACGTGTGGAATGGTTTAGGAAGGTTTGGCGTGTACCAATTCCAGCAAATTACACTGACTATATTGGCAACCCTTCCAATGGCGTTTCACATAGTATCCGTTGTTTTTATCGGTAAGTAGTATAGAAAGACTAAAACTGTTGATCAATTTCACGTACATGTGAAGTAAACACACTTACATATTGACTATGAATATCTATTAAGGCTTTTTAACAACGAATTAACAATACTCAAAAATACTTCAGAGGAAATGATACGTTAACTTCAACATGATATACATCTGACTTCTTGTTAAGAGAATGAATTAAAAAGTCATGAAACGAAAACGTGTATATAAATATACCATATTTATGTGTATACACAGGTATGTTGTGATTTTTATAAAGGTTTTTGTTTTATCTATTTCGCTTATGTACACGTATTTATTTATTTATACGTTTTTCTTTGAAATACGCGTTAACTAGCCATTCAAGATGCCAAACAAATAAGACTAGGAAATACGGTTCTAGATAACGAGTTTCAAGTTAAACTATACCTGTCTCAAGAATTATTTTTTTATGTATTTTTATCAAAGATATTTATGAAAATAATGTATTTTGACAGTTTTAATGTATTTTTAGGTTTTACACCTGAACACACGTGTTCTGTAGAACTGTCAGACGTAACAGACAATAACAGGATTAATGACGTCATCAATGTGACTGCCGACACATGTAATATCCTCGTACAGCGGAATGTGAACGGGAATTTAGTTACAGAAGAAACAGGCTGTTTGTATGGAGTCAACTACACATTGTCAAAAACGTCCACGTTTGTATCAGAGGTAACAGGCTTATTATGTAGTACAGATAAATATATGCATTTTAGTGTTTAACTTTTAATTTGCAACTTAAGGTTTTATCAGCAATCTTTTTAATGCAATTTCACGTTTGGTGTAGGAAAATAAAGATATTGTTGTGGTAATTCCACAAAATTAAACATGCCATTGAAACATTCGTTCTTTCTCATCACCAACTACCAGTACTTTCGCATTACATACATTGTTTATAACATAAACGTGTAATGATCCAACAGCCATCTTTGTGGTCATCTTCTACATACCCATTACATTTTCACATTTAATGAAAGTAAAAATCGTGTGATTTACCAGTGGGATCTTGTATGTGAAAGGGACACGATTGGTCGGTTGTCCCAGTCTCTCGTGCTTGGTGGAATGTTTCTTGGGGCCCTGGCCGCACCACTGGCCGATAAATTCGGGAGGAAGCCAGTTCACGTGGCCTTCAACATCGGCTTACTGGCAGTCACCTTCACAATGGCGTTTGTAAAGAACATTACCACGTTTCTTGTACTGCGCTTCTTTGTTGGTACCTTTCAGCAGGTATGAATATTAGTGTTATTTGTTGCACTGGATACTGAATCGAAAACTGATTATCAAAATTCTACTGGAATCCCATTTTCAAAAATATCATTGCGCTAACCAAGTGTATTTAGGCCACAATCGTGATCTTGATCCAAACGGTTGAACCGATTGGACCTGAGTTGTTCTTTTATGAAATAAAGTAGAACATAGTAAATTGATATCGCTTTCAGGCGAGCTTTAACAAGGCCTTGCAAGGCTTGCATAAACATATGCAGGTCTGCCAGGTTTTATACCTGAAAATGTTACATTTAAAAACAGACAAATCGGTTGAACCATCCTCGATATCACTGGGTTAGACTCACTTACGCTCTCTGCACCCCTGAAATATGTCATAGTAAAACTGAAAGCCACCTGCGACCAATCGAATAGCTGGCACGTGCCTTCAATTTTGCAATGACATATTCCAGGGGTGCATAGAGCAGAAGTGAGCGTAACCCCTGGATATCGAGTATGTGACTGAACCGGTTACGCGAAAGGGGCTTTTTAAGTCATCAAATTGATTTTAAAAGGTTGATCTTGTAAATGAAAATGTTTTCAACTAGAGAAAAGATTCTGTGATCAAACCAACTTTCTTTTAACTCCATTCAATCATCTGGCATGGTAAACAGTCAAGCGTAAACACCAAAAAGTTCATTAAGAGCTTCCTATTTTCCCCCAAATCATTGATGTGAATTTTTTATTACTTTATCACTGGAAAAAGAAATCGGGCTTGAAAACAGAATTTGAGTTTTACCATAAACACGTTTTTAGTTTCAGATGATGCACCTGCATGATTTACCATATTTTATACAATATAAATATAACCAATTAAACGCTAGGCATTGTATAGAGTTGAATAAAGATGGTATGTTGTTGTATGCAGTGTATGTCGTGTTATGTACTGTATAATGTCTTACACATTGAATAAAGTGGTATTGTTTATATAAAGTGTGTATATGTTACATATATTATGTTGTGCTATACAACTTATGATTTGGTGTATAGCATATATTGTGGTTTATAATTTCTATTGTGATACGGATGATATGTTGTGGTGTATAGTGTGTGTTGTTGATGCAGTGTATGTTATGATATACAATATTTTGTTGCCACGTATAGTTGTGGTATTAAATATATGTTTTGGTATAACGTGTTTGTTGTGTTATACAGTATATATAATTAGGGCCCCGTATCTGAGTAATCACTCTGTCTGTCTGTCTGTCTGTCTGTCTGTCTGTCTGTCCGGCCACAAATTTTGTTCCTGGCTGATAACTTTGGTATTTATTGACCGATGTACATGAAACTTAGTCAAGATGTTCAATTCAAAAAATACACATTGAGTTAAAAAGTCAAGGTCAAAGGTGAATGTAATAAGGTCCAAAGGTCAGGGTCAAACTTTCCATATTTTCACTGATGAACATTTTGTTATGACATGATGAAGCAAAGTTGATAAGAATTAAATAAGGAGTCAACCTGACCAAATGTCGAGGTCATTGGGTCAAAGGTCAAGGTTAAATTTTGCTATCTTTTCACTGGTGAACATTTGGTATGACACTTTGAAGCAATGTTGCTCAAAATTAAACAAGGAGTCAATTGACCAAAGGTCAAGGTCATTGGGTCAAAGGTCATGGCTAAAGTTTGTATCTGTTCCCTGATGAACATTTTGTTATGACATTATGCAGCAATGTTGGTCAGAATTAAACAATGAGTCAATTGACCAAAGGTCAAGGTCACCGGGTCAAAGATCACGGTCAAATTTTGTATATTTTCCCTGATGAACATTTTGTTATGACTTTATGAAGCAAAGTTGGTCGAAATTTAACAAAGAGTCAACTGACTTAAGGTCACTCGGTCAAAGGTCAAGGTATAATTTAGTATATTTTTGCTGGTGAACATTTCATTATGACACTTTGAAGCAATGTTTGTGGGAATTAAACAAGGAGTCATTTGACCAAAGGGCAAGGTCACTGGGTCAAAGGGCAAGGTCAAATTTTGTATTTTTTCACTGATGAACATTTTGTTATGACATTATTTAGCAAAGTTGGTCCGAATTTAAAAAGGAGTCAACTGACTTAAGGTCAAGGTCATGTGGTCAATGTCAAGGTCAATTATTATATCTTTTTACTGATGAACTTTTTTATGTTATTATGTAGCAAACTTGTTCAGAACTTAACACAGAGTCAACTGACCTTAGGTTCAGGTTACCGGGTCCAAAGGGTCAAGGTCATGTTTTGCATTTTTCACTGATGAACATTTTGTTATGATATTATGAAGCAAAGTTGGAAGGAATTAAAGAATAAGTGAACTGACCAAAGATCAGGGTCACTGGGTTAATGGTCAAGGTCATTTGGGTCCAAAGGTCAAAGACATAGTGGATCTCTGACTTTGACCCTGGCTCTTGATGGAGGAGTTATATAAGGTGAAATAAAACAAATCAAAGCTAACAAATGAGTACTACACAGGTATTTACATTTCTGTTAGCCCAGCAAATATGGAGGTGGAAGGAAACAAGACTCACATCATAATACATGAAAAATATATATTTTGCTTCATTGCGATTCTTTTTGAAGTCCAAATGTCAAACGTCAAACTCAGCTATATGGGCAGATTGCTTCTTGATGATTATGGGGGATATATTGCCACAGGACGGGGCACTTACTGACCTGTCAGTGTTCTAGTTATACCAAATAGGCATTTTCAATACACCTTTTCTTATTAAGTTCTCTTTTCTGTATCGCGTATGATAGTCATCTCTCTTCAGTAAGTTAAGTAGTTCAGAGACGCAAAGGGGAGTTTACTCCAGAGCTACCAAATTCAAAAGATAAATTGTATTGCAAAGTACTTGAGCAATTTCAATAAATATCAATTTTGTTTAAAAATATAAGTGAGGCAATCCATTACCACACCATCTCCTGATCCTAATTCCTTTTCTAATGTTTCCAGCGTGCAGACAATCGTAATGATTTGTTGTAACGCTTTATCCTCTAATAATGCGTCCATGAGGTCGAACATACAATTCCGTCTTCAATCGTAAATGATGCGCTCTTCTATGGCTATTTCAGGTCTTGACGCAGTTGTCAAATTTTCTTGATTATGTCGAGTGGTGAAGTGTTCTGCACTATTTTCCTCAAGCAACACATCTATGTCATGCTGAAGATTAACATTTTCGTCCATATTACTTGGTCTGCCTGTTGGACCAAACGACACCTCTGGTTCCTGGTAGAAAAGCGGAAATACTGACCTGTCAGTGTTCTAGTTCAGTTTAATGTGGCTTGCATGTAACAATGTCCATTATGGTATACACTTTATATTCCTGGTATATATTTTGAGTATGTTGTGATACACAATGTATTAGTTGTGGTATTCAATGTACATGTAATGGGATACAATGTATACGTAGTGTATGTTGTGAAATACTAGTTTGTTGTAGTATACATTGTTTATGTAATACAATGGTTATGTTGTATTATACAGGTTTGTTGTGGTATACATTATTTATGTTGTGTTATACAGGTTTGTTGTGGTATACATTGTGTATGTTGGGGTATACATGTTTGTTGTGGTATGCATTGTGTATGTTGTGCTATACATTTTTGTTGTGGTATACATTGTGTATGTTGTGTTATACATGTTTGTTGTAGTACACATTGTTGTTGTTGTGTTATACATGTTTGTTGTGGTATATATTGTGTATGTTGTGGTATACATTGTGTATGTTGTGTTATACAGGTTTGTTGAGGTATACAGGTTTGTTGTGGTATACAGGTTTGTTTTGGTATACATTGTGTATGTTGTGTTATACAGGTTTGTTGTGGTATACATTGTGTATGTTGTGTTATACAGGTTTGTTTGTTATACAGGTTTGTTGTGTTATACATTGTGTGTGTTGTGTTATACAGGTTTGTTCTGTTATACATTGTGTATGTTGTGTTATACAGGTTTGTTGTGGTATACAGGTTTGTTGTGGTATACAGGTTTGTTTTGGTATACATTGTGTATGTTGTGTTACACAGGTTTGTTGTTGTATACGTTGTGTATGTTGTGTTATTCAGGTTTGTTGTGGTATACGTTGTTTATGTTGTGTTATACTGGTTTGGTGTGGTATACATTGTGTATGTTGTGGTATACATTGTGTATGTTGTGTTATACAGGTTTGTTGTGGTATACATTGTTTATGTTGTGTTATACAGGTTTGTTATGTTATGCATTGTGTATGTTGTGCTATACAGGTTTGTTGTAGTATACATTGTGTATGTTGTGGTAAACATTGTGTATGTTGTGCTATACAGGTTTGTTGTGGTATACATTGTGTATTTTGTGTTATACATGTTTGTTCTGTTATACATTGTGTATGTTGTGTTATACAGGTTTGTTGTGTTATACATTGTGTAAGGTGTGATATAAATGTTTGTTGTGGTATACATAGTTTATGTTGTGTTATACAAGATTTTTCTGGGTATACATTGTGTATGTTGTGTTATACAGGTTTGTTGTGGAACACATTGCGTAAGTTTTGTTATACAGGTTTGTTGTGCTATATATTGTGTATGTTGTGTTATATACGTTTGTTGTTGTATACATTGTATATGTTGTGTTATACATATTTGTTGTGGTATACATTGTGAATGTTGTGTTATACAGGTTTGTTGTGGTATACATTGTTTATGTTGTGTTATACAGGTTTGTTGTGGTATACATTGTGTATGTTGTGGTACACATTGTGTATGTTGTGGTATACAGGTTTGTTGTGGTATACACTGTTTATGTTGTGATATACAGGTTTGTTGTGGTATACATTGTTTATGTTGTGTTAAACAGGTTTTTTGTGGTTTACATTGTGCATGTTGTGTTATATATGTTTGTTGTGGTATACATTGGGTGGGTTGTGTTATACAGGTTTGTTGTGGTATGCATTGTGGTTGTTGCGTTATACAGGTTTGTTGTGGTATACATTGTGTATGTTGCGTTATATAGGTTTGTTGTGGTTTACATTGTGTGTTTTTTGTTATACAGGTTTTTTGCGGTATACATTGTTTATGTTGTGTTAAACAGGTTTTTTGTGGTTTACCTTGTGCATGTTGTGTTATATATGTTTGTTGTGGCATACATTGGGTGGGTTGTGTTATACAGGTTTGTTGTGTTATACATTGTGTGTATACATTGGGTGGGTTGTGTTATACAGGTTTGTTCTGGTATACATTGTTTATGTTGTGATATACAGGTTTGTTGTGGTATACATTGTGTATGTTGTGTTATACACAAAAAAATGGTATACATTGTGTATTTTTTGTTATTCAGGTTTGTTGTGGTACACATTGTGAATGTTGTGTTATACAGGTTTGTTGTGGTATACATTGGGTGGGTTGTGTTATACAGGTTTGTTGTGGTATACATTGGGTGGGTTGTGTTATACAGGTTTGTTGTGGTATACATTGTGTATGTTGCGTTATATAGGTTTGTTGTTGTTAACAATGTTTATGTTGTGTTATATAGGTTTGTTGTGGTTTACATTGTGTATTTTTTGTTATACAGGTTTGTTGTGTTATACATTGTGTGTATACATTGGGTGGGTTGTGTTATACAGGTTTGTTGTGGTATACATTGTGTATGTTGTGGTACACATGTTTGTTGTGGTATACATTGTTTATGTTGTGATATACATGTTTGTTGTTGTATACATTGTGTATGTTGTGTTATACAAAAAAAAATGGTATACATTGTGTATTTTTTGTTATTCAGGTTTGTTGTGGTATACATTGTGAATGTTGTGTTATACAGGTTTGTTGTGGTATACATTGTTTATGTTGTGTTATACAGGTTTGTTGTGGTATACATTGTTTATGTTGTGATATACGTGTTTGTTGTGGTATACATTGTTTATGTTGTGTTATACAGGTTTGTTGTGGTATACATTGGGTGGGTTGTGTTATACAGGTTTGTTGTGGTATACATTGTTTATGTTGTGTTATACAGGTTTGTTGTGGTATACATTGTTTATGTTGTGATATACATGTTTGTTGTGGTATACATTGTGTATTTTTTGTTATACATGTTTGTTGTGTTATACATTCTTTATGTTGTGTTATATAGGTTTGTTGTTGTATACATTGTTTATGTTGTGTTATACAGATTTGTTGTGGTATACATTTTGAATGTTGTGTTATACAGGTTTGTTGTGGTATACATTGTTTATGTTGTGTTATATAGGTTTGTTGTGGTATACATTGTGTATGTTGTGTTATGCAGGTTTGTTGTGGTATACATTGTGTATATTGTGTCATACAAGTTTGTTGTGCTATACATTGTGTATTTTTTGTTATACATTTTTTTTTGTGGTATACATTGTTTATGTTGTGATATACATGTTTGTTGTGGTATACATTGTTTATGTTGTGTTATACAGGTTTGTTGTGGTATACATTGTGTATATTGTGTTATACAAGTTTGTTGTGCTATACATTGTGTATTTTTTGTTATACATTTTTTTTGTGGTATACATTGTTTATGTTGTGATATACATGTTTGTTGTGTTATACATTGTGTGTGTTGTGTTATACATGTTTGTTATATTATACATTGTGTATGTTGTGTTATACAGGTTTGTTGTAGTATACAGGTTTGTTGTGGTATACAGGTTTGTTGTGGTATACATTGTGTATGTTGTGTTATACAGGTTTGTTGTGGTATAAATTGTTTATGTTGTGTTACACAGGTTTGTTGTTGTATACATTGTTTATGTTGTGTTATAAGAGATTTTTTGGGTTATACATTGTGTATGTTGTGTTATACAGGTTTGTTGTGTAATACATTGTGTACGTTGTATTATACAGGTTTGTTGTGCTATATATTGTGTATGTTGTGTTATATAGGTTTGTTGTTGTATACATTGTTTATGTTGTGTTATATTGATTTGTTGTGGAATACATTGTGAATGTTGTGTTATACAGGTTTGTTGTGGTAAACATTGTTCATGTTGTGTTATACAGGTTTGTTGTGGTATACATTGTGTATGTTGTGGTACACATTGTGTATGTTGTGATATACATGTTTGTTATGGTATACATTGTGTATGTTCTGTTAAACAGGTTTGTTATGTTATGCATTGTGTATGTTGTGTTATACAGGTTAGTTGTGTTATACAGGTTTGTTGTGTTATACATTGTGTGTGTTGTGTTATACAGGTTTGTTGTGTTATACAATGTGTATGTTGTGTTATACAGGTTTGTTGTGTTATACAATGTGTATGTTGTGTTATACAGGTTTGTTGTGTTATACATTGTGTATGTTGTGTTATATAGGTTTGTTGTGTTATACAATGTGTATGTTGTGTTATACAGGTTTGTTGTGTTATACAATGTGTATGTTGTGTTATACAGGTTTGTTGTAGTATACATTGTGTATGTTGTGTTATATAGGTTTGTTGTTGTATACATTGTTTATGTTGTGTTATACGACATTTTTCTGGGTATACTTTGTGTTTGTTGTGTTATACAGGTTTGTTGTGGTATAAATTGTTTATGTTGTGTTATACAGGTTTGTTGTGCTATACATTGTGTGTGTTGTGCTATATATTGTGTATGTTGCGTTATATAGGTTTGTTATTGTATACATTGTATATGTTGTGTTATACATATTTGTTGTGGTATACATTGTCAAGGTTGTGTTATACAGGTTTGTTGTGGTATACATTGTGTATTTTGTGTTATACAGGTTTGTTGTGCTATACATTGTGTATTTTTGTTATACATGTTTGTTGTGGTATACATAGTTTATATTGTCCTATACAAGATTTTTCTGGGTATACATTGTGTATGTTGTGTTATACAGGTTTTTTTGTGGAACACATTGCGTACGTTTTGTTATACAGGTTTGTTGTGCTATATATTGTGTATGTTGTGTTATATAGGTTTGTTGTTGTATACATAGTATATGTTGTGTTATGCATATTTGTTGTGCTATGCATTGTTTATGTTGTGATATAGATGTTTGTTGTGGTATACATTGTTTATGTTGTGTTATACAGGTTTGTTGTGGTATACATTGTGTATGTTGTGATACACAGGTTTGTTGCGGTATACATTGTGTATGTTGTGTTATACAGGTTTGTTGTGGTATACATTGGTTATGTTGTATTATACAGGTTTTTTGTGGTATACATTGTGTATGTTGTGGTTCACATTGTGTATGTTGTGTTATACAGGTTTGTTGTGGTATACATTTTTTATGTTTTGTTATACAGGTTTGTTGTGGTATACATCGTGTATATTGTGTTATACAAGTTTGTTGTGCTATACATTGTTTATGTTGTGATATATATGTTTGTTGTGGTATACATTGTTTATGTTGTGTTATACAGGTTTGTTGTGGTATACATTGTTTATGTTTTGTTATACAGGTTTGTTGTGGTATACAATGGCTATGTTGTGTTATACAGGGAATGCTGATTACAGTAGTGACATTCTGGCTGGAGTTATTTCACACTGATTCCCGTGAGGACGTGGGAATTGTGAACGGCTTCATGTGGGCAAGCTCCGTCAACGTTCTTACTCTCGTTGCATTCCTGCTTCGAGACTACGACTGGAGAATCCTTCAACTAGCGTTGTCTGTTTTCTCAGTTCTCAGCCTGGTAGAAATTTTGTAAGTACTAAATGAATTAAATGCATTACCAATAAGTCTATCAACATTCCCACCAGAAAAAAGTAGCTTCCAGCTGTGGTTTTCCGACATGTTATAACTAGTATATCACCTCTTAACCCCTTTCTTTTTCTGATTGTAACAAACTGCCAAGTTTTTTCGCCGGCAACGACGATACGTCATAAAATTAAAACATCATTCTGATGATGAAGACTTTTGTGGGTTTGTGAGCTAATTCTGATGATTGAAATGAGAGAAAAATACTCTTTCATGCCAATCTTCATCTTCAAATTGGTGCAAAACCCGATTTGAAAACCCCTTGGTTGGAATTTTCATATCCTACACTCTTGGCAAGAAAAAGTCTTCGTTATTGTGTTAGCATATGTATGTCAATCCCTCAAACTGCATGGTGTGTTTCTTCTCACACGTACCATTTTTCATTTAAATAACCACAGAGACTATCACATAACCTGTATGTACAAGTAGTTGCAACCATTTGAAATATTGATGTACATGTATATATTATATATACATGCATTGATAAGAAAAACTATTTTATTCACTCTTTGAAGCATGATGGATGAATCGCTGAGATGGCTAATTGCAAACAACAAGATGAAAAAGTGTCACGCACTCATCGAAAAAGTTTGGACACTAAATAAACGGAACAAACAGATCTTATCGGAAGCTGATCAGAAAGAAACTGACATGAAACCTCTGTCTACTGAGGCGGTTGGAAAAGTAATTTTGCCTTTACGAAGTAACTCGTTAACGGATCAAACCACTGTCATGGTAGAGGAACACTGGTCACAACTGGTGACAGACAAAATACTGCGGAGACATTCACTGATTACATGGGGTTTGTGGTGCGTACTTTAAAGTTTAGATATGTACCAAACAAAAACATGTTGTAGATTGTGTGTGTGATTTCCAATGAACGTGTACATTATTATTACTTTAACTATTTTCCCGGCGAAGATATTTAAATAAAAATGTGATATGATTTAACATCATGTAATAATAGGCTGTTTCACTTCATTTTCTTTTTAAATGCGAATGACAAATACATAAAAAATAAGGCAACTATACTTGCAGAATCCGCTAGTGAAATTTTCAATCCCCAATATTTAAAAACATTTCTGTATTTATACCGGCAATAAAAGACATTAGGGAGAATATTTCTGGTATTGCAGAGAAACAGAAACGAAATAAGGAGTGATAATATAGTGGCTGATTAGTTCAGACTCTAAAATAATGGAAATATACATATTGCAATAACTTAAGCCTGTTCATAACGCCACACTCACGCCATATACTAGCTATGTTGCATATGATACCTAATACATGATAATATTAATTGTATTAAAGTGCACCTTACTACCTCATTTTGTATAAGGCAATACAATATACTTTGCTATCTACGGTATCTTACTACCTTATCTAATTAGAGGTAATATACTATGTTGTATAGGGTAGCCAACAACCTCACGTACTACGGGATTGTGATGATGACTCCCAGTTTCGCTGTTGGTCGCTACCTCGGTTTCTTCCTCGGAAGTATTTCGGAAATGGTTGGCAATTTCATCTTGTTGTTTTTGATTAAACGGTAATTTGCATTTGTAAGGTTCGACAGAGAAGAATAAATAATTAAAGTACATATATTGAGACATATCATTTGAATTTGAGTGAACAGGACAATAGTTCGTTCCTCTTGCAATATGCGAATGAGGCAAACCTATTGTCGCGGATACTCTATTTGCGAACAAAATTTGACTTTGATAGTTAAACCTTTTCGTTAAAAATTCACAGTCTAATTTAGACGTTAGATATTTGCAAAATAATCGATTTATAGTTCAAGGAAACTGACTTATGATTAAGCTACTGTTTGTTGTACCTGAAGTGTGATGTAATTACAGGTCATAGTTCATGAAAAAGAAAATCCTTGCTCAACACACATTATAAGTGAACATGTACTTGGACCTGAATTTCCATTATATTTTCTCGTGGTATACCTTGATAGTGTTGTAAGAGTAGAATATGTTGGTGTGTGTTTACTTAGCGGGATATCCATTATTTTTTCAATCTGAAGACAAAGAACATATAATGATACATTTATCAAACTGTATATATATCATTACAGATTCACCCGGAAAACGACCATAAGTATATTCCAATTTGTAGGCAGTGTGGCACTACTTCTCACTATCATAACCATCCACTTTGACGGTAAGTGAAGTAATATAACACTAACTGGGTCATACGTCATTCCTAAAAAGATAATTCCAGATGAATATTCCTAAACATCCCGTAGTGTTACATTGTGAATACTATTGAAGATATTGGAATTTGGCCTTTAACTAACCGTATATCACAAGCAAAAGGTCAACGTGTGAATGAAATAATTTTATAAGCTAGCAGATACACGAATAACCTGTTGTTGAATATCTTATATTAAAAATTCGTTTAAAAAATAAGAATGTAACAATATTACCTGACCGATGCCGTTTACGTATGTCTATGCTATTATTATCATTCCCGTGTCATTTTCTTGCCATATGTAATAATAAAGAGGTCACATTCTGAACAACTTATATGACTACAAAACTTCAAGATGGTTTTTGTTCTTGTTCACTTGACGATGGTCAAGAAAACATGGTACTGTGAGTTTCCAATTAATCGATTAAGATTTGAAAATGCTTATTGAAATTGTTTCGATTCTATTTGACATTACAGACAATAACGAAGTGATTCTTGAAGTTTACATTATACAGAGTGTTTATATGAATTCTTGTTAGAGATAAATATATAATATACATATGATATTAATTATCTACAAAACGATTGACAGGTGATGTTGTCCGGATTGTTGAGGTGGTGCTGTTTGCCGTCGCTCGGGGATCGATATCAAACTCATTTAATGCTATCTACCTGTACACTCCGGAACTTTTCCCCACAAATCTCAGGTAAGGTATATAGCATTTTCAAGTGTCAACATATTTCATTGACCATAAATATTGCAAAGGAATAGGTACACGCTATTTCAACTGATAAAACATACATTCTACGAAACATGAATGATAAGCTAGTAATATAAATGCCGACATACAAAGATAAAGACATCGGGGTTTTTCATGTACCCGGATCACAGTGGAACACGATACATACATATATGAATCTATCGCGAAGGTAACAAAGTCATATCGTATTGATGATAAGCTGTACTGTCTATGAGTTAACTTGTTCCATTTACAGGAGCGCAGGTCTCGGTGTAGCATCGGCCGCTGGAAGACTATCTGGCATCATAGCACCATTCTGCGTCTATATGGTATGTGTATTGCATTATTTTAACCACAAGAGCGTTGCCTTATTATTTTTTCAGCGATCATTTAAAGGAATCAGCTCCTGCATTTTGTTATTTGAAAGGCGCATATCATAAAAACTCACTGTAACTAACCTAGCCCTTTTGCTAATAAGCGACCAGATGGAAGATATTAATTATATATATATTTTTTTAATTTGTTATTTTGTTATTTCGTTTGTTTCACATGTGTTATAGATGGAAGTGGCTCTATGGTTGCCATCGTTACTATTCGCTTCATTATGTCTGATATTCTGTTTCCTGATCCGGTATCTACCGGAAACGAAAGGGAGAGAACTACCACAGAAGCTTGAGGAAATCTGGGAATGGTACAATCATGACAACAACAGAAATACCATTGATACAAATACGGTTGATCACGAAGTATTCATTACTACACCTTGTCAATAAACATGAACATTTCAAACAGCTTTACTGAATAGTTACATGTACTTTACTAGTACACACTAATTTATCACAAAATAATAAATAAATAGTAAATTACTATTTATTCTGTTTTAAAATTAAAACTGAATTTACTGTACCTGTTGTGATGCACTAATTATATATACATAATCATTTGAATGATTTTTTTATGAATCAACATAGACAAGTGCATGATTTTATTTACCACAGTTAGAATTTGCTATCAAATTTTGTCAATTCATGTATCATATTAATTTGTAAACAGAAGTGATACGATAAGTGATGTAAGTTTAAAGTGAACATTGACAAGAAATAAAGGTTCAGTATTTACAAGCGAATGTAGAATCATTGATCAGATGATCCTGACATTTGTCGTGATTCGAACCATTTACATTATTGCAAATTTGCATAGAACTCTATTTAATTTTCTTGGAACACAATCAATAAAAAAGTCGAGAAACACAGTTGATTTTGATTTTCTTGCGAATAGAGATTACTATTATCACTCGATCGTGTAGTATGTGGGGAAACAACAAAAGAATACATAAGGCTTAATAAAACAATAGACGACCATCTGTTGTACAAGCATGTATTCATTAGCTCTCGATTCTTTGGTATTTAAGAGTCTGTTGATGTATTTAATATTAATAATGCTAATATTCAAGAATAAATAATCTTTAATCTTATGTTGTTGTTTAGTGTTTTCTGATTTTTAAAGTTAGTTTATGATTCTGTTTTCAAGTTTGTAATCTTTCAAGTTGTGATTTATTTTATGGAAGTTTGTGAGATGTACCACATATTGTGCTTTTCTAGCTCCTACAGATAAATTATTTGTAGCAGGTATATAGAGGATCACCATGATTTCTGTTTGATAATAATGTCCTAACCCATTCAAATAATTTACCCACATTGACATGATTTTAAAGTTTATATGAAAGCTGTTAATTCCAGACGCGATGATTTTTTTTTACTTACAGTATTTAACAGAAAGATCCTATCCAAAATAATACTGTTTGCTCTCGTACTTGACACTTATGGGTTTTACCTATTGAGTCGAGTTTTTTTCTCATCCCTTAAGTTGAAAAGCATTCTATTTATCACAATTGTTTTAACAGTTTTAAGTTTCCATCACTTATATTTTCTTATTGGCACGATCATTTTATCTCATTTTTCAAGTCTAGCCTGCAATGAAAGCAATACGGGTAGATAACTGATATGACACAAGTAAAATAATGGGACAGGGTTTTATGTCATGGGGTTCCAATAGAAAAGTAGCAAGACTCATTTTTATTTTTATTTATTACAGTTATACGATAGTAATGTTCAGACGTTTGCTATTTGAAAAATAGTCAAATGTTTTTAAGACGGCTAAAATGTGTACAGTTTCTGCTTTGATTCCCTCGTTTAAAGATGCTTACAATAACTAGCGGGTTTTGTCGTATCAATACCCAAAGAATAAACTGGATTCGTGTGTTTTTTCAATTCCAAATGTTTATGCTATGTAAACTTGCAAAATAGCATGTTCCTACAGTTACACGAGATAGACGCTAAAAGACATGACGTCACTTCTTTTCGTCTTATTTTCATATTTTTGTAGATTGGATCAGTTCTAGCAATAAGTTTTTTTTTCAATCTGGTAGATACTCATAAACAGTATTACTTTAATCAGATTAACACCAGTTTAGATCAGTGTGTTATAAGCATATAATCTTTTTGAGGGATTTGGATGGGTGGATTTTCTGTGGTTGTTTCAAGAAACATTTAACTGACGATCAGATGTGGTGGGTTGTTATGTTGGCTAGAGGAACTGTAGTTCTGTTTTATAGTTAAAACCGATTTAAAGTGAAATTGGAAATTTAATAGATTGACTTTATCTGTTATAGATATTTCCCTGTCCTATGGTTGTTACATTCATGTCACCAGTTTATCGTTTGAAGAGATGTTTAATTATTGAAAGGCGCTAGGAAGTGATTGCGTTCGCTTCTTCCTTTCTGTTATTCATATGAGAGAACTGCAGCATCAAGTGGCGGCGCCAAGATATATATATTTCTTGTTTAATTTCATCGATTTCATCATTGGATATCTACCGATCAGTTCGAGTTAGTACGTTTGTTAGTTGAGCTTTGTGATAGAACCTTCCATATCTACACGTGTGTGAAACATAACGAAGTGTCTTGACAAATGAATTGAAAAATACAAACGCACCAAAAAATGAAATACCAAAAACGCTTGTTAATCTCACTTCATTTAAACTACCTTCGTTTTGACCCCATTGACCTTTCACGCTAGAAACATTCATGAATTCATCATCGCTCATAATGTGCGGGAAACCATAATCCTTTTCTCAACCTTACTGCAAAATTGTGTAAACCGAATTTAGACGTATGTATTCCTGACGTCGGTCAGTTGTTATTGTTATACCATTTGTATCATATTCAACGTCGTATTTAAATGGAAATCATAAACGTTTCTGGAAAGACACACCATGTTCTTATTTCAGCCAGATAGAAGAGTTGCAGGATATACATAATATACTTACAGGGGAAGTAGTACGTTTACACGGATTAGAAAGGCATAGATAATTCACCAAGGATCGCCTCCACGCCTTTCCCTCACCTTTGTTCTCTGTTTGTATATCAGTCAAAGCCGACTGAGTGATATTCGTCATATATCTAATGGCATTGTAACTGTTCTCTTACGATTCAAACCATCATAAAAACGGCCATGGAAACCGTTATCAAGTGTCTGTGATTTTATCATGTTGGACATGGACACCGTTGACATGTGTCTCTCGTTCTATCATGTATGACATGGACACCGTTGTGATGTGTCTGTGATTCTATCATGTTATACATTGACACCGTCGTCATGTGTCTGTGATTCTATCATGTTATGCATTGACACCGTCGTCATGTGTCGGTGATTATATCATGTTGGATATGGACACCCTCGTCATCTGTCTGTGATTCTATCATGTTATACATTGACACCGTCGTAATGTGTCTGTGATTCTATCATGTTATACATGGACACCGTCGTCATGTGTCTGTGATTATATCATGTTATACATTGACACCGTCGTCATGTGTCTGTGATGCTATCATGTTATATATTGACACCGTCGTCATGTGTCTGTGATTATATCATGGTAGATAGGACACCGTCGTCATGTGTCTGTGATTCTATCATTTTATACATTGACACCGTCGCAATGTGTCTGTGATTCTATCATGTTGGATATGGACGCCGTCGTCATGTGTCTGTGGTTCGTTCATTTTAGACATGGACACCGGTATCATGCGTCTGTGATTCCATCATGTTAGACATGGACACCGTTGTCATGTGTTTGTGATTCTATCATGTTGGATATGGACGCCGTCGTCATGTGTCTGTGGTTCGTTCATTTTAGACATGGACACCGGTATCATGCGTCTGTGATTCCATCATGTTAGACATGGACACCGTTGTCATGTGTTTGTGATTCTATCATGTTATACATGGACACCGTCGTCATGTGTCTGTGATTCTATCATGTTATACATTGACACCGTCGTCATGTGTCTGTGATGCTATCATGTTATATATTAACACCGTCGTCATGTGTCTGTGATTCTATCATGTTATGCATTGACACCGTCGTCATGTGTCTGTGATTCTATCATTTTATACATTGACACCGTCGTAATGTGTCTGTGATTCTATCATGTTGGATATGGACACCGTCGTCATGTGTCTGTGGTTCGTTCATTTTAGACATGGACACCGGTATCATGCGTCTGTGATTCCATCATGTTAGGCATGGACACCGTCGTCATGTGTCTGTGATTCTATCATGTTATATATAGACACCGTCGTCATGTGTCTGTGATTCTATCATTTTATACATTGACACCGTCGTCATGTGTCTGTGACTCTATCATGTTATATATAGACACCGTCGTCATGTGTCTGTGATTCTATCATGTTGGATATGGACACCGTCGTCATGTGTCTGTGGTTCGTTCATTTTAGACATGGACACCGGTATCATGCGTCTGTGATTCCATCATGTTAGACATGGACCCCGTCGTCATGTGTCTGTGATTCTATCATGTTATATATTGACACCGTCGTCATGTGTATGTGATTATATCATGTTATGCATTGACACCGTCGTAATGTGTCTGTGATTCCATCATGTTAGACATGGACACCGTCGTCATGTGTCTGTGATTCTATCATTTTATACATTGACACCGTCGTCATGTGTCTGTGACTCTATCATGTTATATATAGACACCGTCGTCATGTGTCTGTGATTCTATCATGTTATGCATTGACACCGTCGTCATGTGTCTGTGATTCTATCATGTTATACATGGACACCGTCGTCGTGTGTCTGTGATTCTATCATTTTATACATTGACACCGTCGTCATGTGTCTGTGATTCTATCATGTTATATATTGACACCGTCGTCATGTGTGTGTGATTATATCATGTTATGCATTGACACCGTCGTAATGTGTCTGTGATTCCATCATGTTAGACATGGACACCGGTATCATGCGTCTGTGATTCCATCATGTTAGACATGGACACCGTTGTCATGTGTTTGTGATTCTATCATGTTGGATATGGACACCGTTGACATGTGTCTCTCGTTCTATTATGTATGACATGGACACCGTCGTCATATGTCTGTGATTCTATCATGTTATACATTGACACCGTCGTCATGTGTCTGTGATTCTATCATGTTATGCATTGACACCGTCGTCATGTGTCGGTGATTCTATCATGTTGGATATGGACACCGTCGTCATGTGTCTGTGATTCGTTCATTTTAGACATGGACACCGTCGTCATGCGTCTGTGATTCCATCATGTTAGACATGGACACCGTCGTCATGTGTTTGTGATTATATCATGTTGGATATGGACACCGTTGACATGTGTCTCTCGTTCTATCATGTATGACATGGACACCGTCGTCATGTGTCTGTGATTCTATCATGTTATTTTGTGCCTGTATGCTGCACGCGTATGCGTCCAGGTGTGTATGAACA